GGGACCCCGCCCGCCTCACCCCACGAGGACGGACCAGGCACACCAGGTGGTGGCTGCAGAGCGGAAGGGGGCCCGACTGGATGGGGCAGGAAGAGCAGGGCGCTTGGCCGGGGCCTGAGGTCCCAGGGCGCGAGGAAGGCGCCTACCTGGCTCTCGTCCCCGGGGTCCTTGTAGCCGCACGCGTCCACGAAGTCTGGGAACACCCCCGACCAGCCGTCGCTTGTGCAGTTTTTGCTCATGTTTCCTGGAAAGCGAAGGTCAGAGGTTTAACCTACATGGCCGTGGGAGCTGCCCGTGTGGCCGTCGGGGCCGTGCTGAGGCCTGCACTGTCCTTACCGCCCCTCTGCTCCCAGGGGAGCTGGTGAGCGGCCTTCGGGGTCCTTCCTCAGGCGTCTCATCAGCGAGTCACCTCTAGGAGCTCGTGGGGGTGAGGGACGCGAGTGGACAAGTGTCATACACAGTGATGCATAACAGTTGTCATGACTGCAACCGGGCTGCTCCCCACCCTGGTCCCGGCAGCTCCATCCCCTCCCTCCAGCCTGCCCCTCGCCCTTCACTGCCCGTGAGGCCCCAACAGGCTCCGCTGGCCCCTGGGGCTCGAGGAGAGGAATTAGGGTTAGACCACGGGAGGCAGGCGCCTGCCTACACAACCCAGCACGGCCTCGCGCTCCGAGGGCTGTGCACCTTCTTGTTAGAGCGCGAGCTTGGAGGGTGACCTGCTAGCACTGGCAGTCGGGGACAGAGGGAGGGCTGTCCCTGTGCTCGCGGCTGGCAGGGCCTGGTGCGCCTCTCGCCGTCGGCCCTCTGCCCTTCCTGAGCGCTTGTTTAGCTAAGCAACTGCTTCTTTCTCTTCCTTTTCCTTTTGCTTTTCCCTGAACCGGGGTCAAAGTCAAATTGAATTTGTCAGTTAACTGGAGTAGACCCACTTAAGGGCCTAGGGTAGATTTTTAATCTGTTTGGTTTCTGTGAGAGTGCTTATGTGTCAAAGTCGTGTCAGAAATAGGGTGAGGCCCGGCAGGGAGGCCTCAGTCTGCCCGAGTTAGAGGGAACCAGACCTTAACTCAATTCTGGGGCACTTGGTTTTGACAGTCAAATTGTTCAACGGATGACTGGTTTGAGCCCAGTAAGGGTAGGGCATATACACATGCAGAGCCAGCTAGAAAGACAGAGACACACGGAGACACATGCGTATACACACATGCAGAGCTGGCTAGAAAGACAGACAGAGACACACGGAGACACATGCGTATACACACATGCAGAGCTGGCTAGAAAGACAGACAGAGACACACGGAGACACATGCGTATACACACATGCAGAGCTGGCTAGAAAGACAGACAGAGACACACGGAGACACATGCGTATACACACATGCAGAGCTGGCTAGAAAGACAGACAGAGACACACGGAGACACATGCGTATACACACATGCAGAGCTGGCTAGAAAGACAGACAGAGACACACGGAGACACATGCGTATACACACATGCAGAGCTGGCTAGAAAGACAGACAGAGACACACGGAGACACATGCGTATACACACATGCAGAGCTGGCTAGAAAGACAGACAGAGACACACGGAGACACATGCGTATACACACATGCAGAGCTGGCTAGAAAGACAGACAGAGACACACGGAGACACATGCGTATACACACATGCAGAGCTGGCTAGAAAGACAGACAGAGACACACGGAGACACATGCGTATACACACATGCAGAGCTGGCTAGAAAGACAGACAGAGACACACGGAGACACATGCGTATACACACATGCAGAGCTGGCTAGAAAGACAGACAGAGACACACGGAGACACATGCGTATACACACATGCAGAGCTGGCTAGAAAGACAGACAGAGACACACGGAGACACATGCGTATACACACATGCAGAGCTGGCTAGAAAGACAGACAGAGACACACGGAGACACATGCGTATACACACATGCAGAGCTGGCTAGAAAGACAGACAGAGACACACGGAGACACATGCGTATACACACATGCAGAGCTGGCTAGAAAGACAGACAGAGACACACGGAGACACATGCGTATACACACATGCAGAGCTGGCTAGAAAGACAGACAGAGACACACGGAGACACATGCGTATACACACATGCAGAGCTGGCTAGAAAGACAGACAGAGACACACGGAGACACATGCGTATACACACATGCAGAGCTGGCTAGAAAGACAGACAGAGACACACGGAGACACATGCGTATACACACATGCAGAGCTGGCTAGAAAGACAGACAGAGACACACGGAGACACATGCGTATACACACATGCAGAGCTGGCTAGAAAGACAGACAGAGACACACGGAGACACATGCGTATACACACATGCAGAGCTGGCTAGAAAGACAGACAGAGACACACGGAGACACATGCGTATACACACATGCAGAGCTGGCTAGAAAGACAGACAGAGACACACGGAGACACATGCGTATACACACATGCAGAGCTGGCTAGAAAGACAGACAGAGACACACGGAGACACATGCGTATACACACATGCAGAGCTGGCTAGAAAGACAGACAGAGACACACGGAGACACATGCGTATACACACATGCAGAGCTGGCTAGAAAGACAGACAGAGACACACGGAGACACATGCGTATACACACATGCAGAGCTGGCTAGAAAGACAGACAGAGACACACGGAGACACATGCGTATACACACATGCAGAGCTGGCTAGAAAGACAGACAGAGACACACGGAGACACATGCGTATACACACATGCAGAGCTGGCTAGAAAGACAGACAGAGACACACGGAGACACATGCGTATACACACATGCAGAGCTGGCTAGAAAGACAGACAGAGACACACGGAGACACATGCGTATACACACATGCAGAGCTGGCTAGAAAGACAGACAGAGACACACGGAGACACATGCGTATACACACATGCAGAGCTGGCTAGAAAGACAGACAGAGACACACGGAGACACATGCGTATACACACATGCAGAGCTGGCTAGAAAGACAGACAGAGACACATGGAGACACGTGCGTATGCACACATGCAGAGCTAGCTAGAAAGACAGACAGAGATACATGGAGACACGTGCGTATACACACGTGCAAAGCTAGCTAGAAAGACAGACAGAGACACCCAGAGACACGTGGATGTATCTGCTCTACTTATTTACTTATTTCTGCCAGAGGGCATGTGCCCTCACCAGAGAGAGACAAATGAGAGAGACACAGTGAGACAGCACCCCAGGAAATGGTCACGCACAACCCTCCCCTCATCTCAGCCACCTTTCAGGTCCTGTCACGTCTCTCACTGGGTCTGGGACTCGAATCGTGAAGTCGGTCATGCAGGACCCAGCTGCCTTCACCACCAGGCCATGGGCTGGCCAAAGGGTAGGCAGTTTGGGTTCTTGGGTTTTGATTCTCAGTGTTTGGTTTCTGATCCTTGACAAGGGGCTGGCTGCAATCCAGGGCATGTGGACTTCCACCTCGGGAACGCTGGCTTCGGCAATGCGTCCGAGTTTGGACCCAGGCCGTATTTTCAGAGAAATGGCTAATCCAGCAGAAATGGCTCTGGGACACGGTGGCCACAGGGGAAGTTCCAAGTGGATGAAGGGGAAGAGCTGAAGTTGCCACAGAGTCAATGCGATTTCATTTTCACGTTGGGGTCTCACCGACACTGCCAGCCTGGCCTCCTGAGTAGCCGGGGCTGCAGGTGTGTGTCGTTGTGCTCAGCTTCTGGGGGCCGAGGACCAAACCTGGACCTCCTACCGGCCCCAGCCGTGCGCGAGTGTCTGCTCAGTGGGCAGTACTGCAGCGGCAGGCGGGATGCCTTCTCATGGGCACGTGGAGACATTTAAAGACTAAGCAGATCGAAGTTGGCCTCCTGGCAAAGAGCAAGCAAGTATATGCCTTTAGAGCTAAGCCACAATGGGGGTCTTCCCTGTCTTCAGGTTTTTGCCAAAGAGAGAAAGAGAGAGACAGTGAGAGGCATCCACCCCAAAGGGAGGATGCCCACGCTGCAATCCCTCCCCCTCCATTCTCTTCTCAGGATTTTGGGCATGCACGCACACGTGCCAGGAGTGAGTTTCAAGCCGCTGGGTCTGAGCCATGAACCACAGTCAGCCATGTGGGAGTTCAACGCCTTAACCACCAAGCCATGTGCTGGTCCCGTCAGGAAGCCAAGGGTCCCAGAACGAAGACTGCTGTGCCGGAAGGTGTCTCTCTGTGCTGCAAATGGCCGGGCACTCGTCCAGGACCCTATCCTGCTCCTCACCGGAGAGGCTGGGCACCTCCTGGGCAATGCCTCACTGGTCTGGTGGGCCACCCTCTATTCGATCTGCATCTCCCGGGACCTCTCTGTCCACCAAAACCTTCTCTCCAAACGCTCATTCCCACCTAACTCTCCCATGTTGTCATGACCTTTGCTATGTCCCAAATGATTTCTTGGCAACAACTGCTGAAAAGCTTTCAACTTAATGCATAATTACAAAGGATTGTCTGCAGAAAATGGACTGATCTTTTGCAGACCAAGAAAGGGGTGAGCCGGTTCCAGATGGCAGGGTTTGCTAAAAAACATTCCCTCAAATTGCAATGAAGAAAGTAGCAAGCAGTACAGCCAACTGCAGAGCCAGCTGTCTCTGCTTCAGTCCTGCCTGGGCTTTTACTCACCACCTTTGTGGTTCAGGTATTTAAGCCTGACGTCTCAGCTCCGAGCCTGGAAGAGCTGCTTCTGCCCGCAGTTAACATACGTGTGAGCGTTTTCTGTCTCAATGGTATTGCAAATTGAAGGAGGAACTGCATTTAGTTGACTTATGTAAGTGATGTGCTCTCAGAAAATCAAGAACAAACTAAATGTTCTCGACTTTTCACCACTTGGGCGATTGTTGGTAGATAAGGATTTGTTGGCTGGCTTAGGATGGGCGTGTCATGGTTCGGCTGTGTATTCAGCACAGGTGCAGGGCATTCTGCACTGACTCTCCTTAGTGCTACGTCCTGAGGGGTGTTATGGGAAAAGCAACCGCTGTTCTGTGCGAGCGAGTAACCCAGGCGCACAGCCAAGGGTGAGTGACCTTAGCGGGTGCGAGTCAGGCAACGTTTCGCCAGGAGAGATGTCCTTCTGGACCTAGTGGCTCTCAGCCCTGTTAGGAATGGAGAGTGGAGGCCGAGGCCAATCTGTGCAGACCGCTGCTTAATCCTTAGGCCTGGCAAGGAGAAACCAGGACAGAGGTGCCACCTGCTGCCCCACAGGTCCTGCTCCAGACGGGCTGACACGGGGCCGCGAGGAGCCAGGCTCTGGTCGACGAGCTGCACACAGAAACACTCACTTCCAGAAGTCACAGCTGGCAGACGTGCCAGCCCCAGAGGCTGTGCGACAGACGGGCCACAGCTGCCTCTCCTCGAGTGCGCTGCAGGTCTCGGTCACTGCGGGCTGGGCAGTCCAGTTACTTTATGCAACTAAGATTACTGGACACGATGAGAATGCTCTATCCAAGTACATGGGAAGAGTAAGATACATTTTTGGTGAGAAAAAATTATAAAAATAAATGATCTTTTTTTTTTTAACTTTTTTTTTTTTGGAGAGGTTTTTGCTATAGGGCGTGTGCACTTGCCAGACAGACAGAGAGAGACAGAGAGACAGAAAGCGAGAAATCACCCCCCATGGGGGATGGTCACGCCGCAATCCCTTCTCCTCCATTCTCCTCTTGGGATCTTGGGCACGCACGCACATGCGCCTGGCGTGAGTTTTAAGCCACCAGGTCCGGGACGTGAACCGCGGTCGACTACGTGGGAGTCCAGCGACATAGCCATTACGCTAACTGCTGGTTCCCAAAGAAATGATCTATTTTTGTAAAAAGAGCAGTTTTGTCTAATTGAGAGGCTGTTCGGGCGTCAAAGCTGAGGTTAGTTCCCCTCTTGAGGTGCTCATCACAGGGAAGCTAGTCCGTCTGTAACGTGGAGAAGAATTGGGCTTCTGACCACCAGACCTCTGAGGGATTCAGGCAAGCAGAGGCCACCTCCGACCTTCCAGTGGGAGCATTTGTGCCCATAAAGACAGAGAATGGGCAAGCTCATGGCTGTCTCCTCTCCGCCGAGGCTGTGGGCTTCTGGGCGATGCTGAGCAAGACTGAACCCTACACTTAGCATCCCTGGCGCTTACCGTGTTGCTATGGGTCTTCTGTACTCTCTGGAGACAGAAAGAGAGCACGGCGGGTGAGGGCGACCCCGGAGGGACAGTCGCCTGCAGTCTCCTCGCCTCCGTCTCCCCTTTTGGGATTTGGGCATGCACACCCGGTACCCAGCGTTCTCAGGCCACTGGCTCCAGACTCAACATACGGTTACTGTGGACCACTGGCTGGCCCTCCCTGAGCCGAAGGCCGCTGTGTCCTTACATTGGGTCATCAGAAGTCACGATGCAGTTTTGCATAGAAATCCAGAAAAAAGGCCCTGACTTTTCTGACAACCTAACACATGGATGCCAGACACGTGAAGGCCCTTTCTCAGGGAAAAGGAGCATCGCACGTGTGGGGACGGCTGACGGCTGGTCTGCCGTCCCAAGGTCCCCTGCGTCTCCATTGCTGGGTCTCCAGGTCACCAACTGACCAGCTCAGCACAGGCACTCAGCACACCAAGGTCCTCGGTCACCGTCACTCTCCAGACAAACTACGGCCAAGGCACGAGGTGCGTGGGACAGTCCTTAATGCCCGAGCCCCAAGTGGCTTTGTTCTGAAGGTTTGGTTCAGAGACACTAAAAGTGCATTTCAGGGGCTGGTAGGTGGTGTGGTGGTTAAGGCGCTGGACTCCCCCATGGCTGACTACGGTTTGAGTCCTGGACCTGGAGGCATGCTTTTTCACTTTCTCTCTCTCTCTGCTCAAACCTTTTGAAAAAAAAAAAAGTGTATTCCAGTTATCAGCAGCAGGTATTGGATTTACTCGAACGTTCTGAATACCCTTACGTCCTTCGCAGCAAACGGCGTCGCTGTGACTGGAGACAGAAGCACAGACACGAGCTGCCAACCGAGCACTGACGCTGAGAGCTCATCACTGAGGTTGGGCAGACGCCCAGGTGGCCACAGAAGGGCGGCCTGGTCCGGGGCACCGCGCTGTCAGGGTTCAGAGGCTGACCCAAAGTCGGGAATCGTCAAAGCAAATGGGGTCGGCCTCGCAGCCTCCTACTCAGTGACACCTTGGCCGAAAGCGGTCGCTGCAGGTCCTGACTGTGACCTGGATGACTGTGTGAGTGGGCTGTGACCTGGTGACCTTGCAGCCAACAGAGGCTGCCACCGGCCCCACAGCA